CCTAACAAAAAGTTAAACTACCGCCGTTATTGAATAGGGCTAAGGGATAGGCATCGCATGTCTACTGTTTCAAAGAGAAGCAGTGGAAGTCAACAGCAGTCTGGTCCATCGAGGAAGAAGGTTGAAGTGCACTACACTCCAACAAGTTCTTCTGGAAGCTCAGGAAGTCGAGCTTCCCCAGCGGCCGGAAGAACTCCTCCACCTCCGCCTCCGCCGCCGCCAGTTGATCCAGAGGTCCTACCAGACACACCTACACGGACTCCATCCAGTGAAGATCCAGATTCGTCAGACTCAGAAATAGATAACCAGGATTCAGACTCTGAAGACGACATAGCAAGACCGAAGGTTAACCCTCCAGAACCTTTTAAAGGAGAACGCTCCAAGTACAACTCATTCCATTCGCAACTTAGGTTGTACATTTACTGGAACAGAGATAAGCTGGAAACTGAAGAAAAGAAGGTGATATGCGCCATCTCTTACTTAAGAGGTAGTGCATATACCTGGATCCAGCGAAGGGTTGACAAATACATAGCCAAAGGAAATCAAGCTCCTGATGATATCAAGCGCATCTTCGAAAGCTATTCTCGATTTTTACAGGCAATAGATTAGTACTTTCAGCGCGTTGATGAGACTTATCTGGCAGAAAAGAAGTTACTTGAGTTACGCCAGAAAGCCGATGCGAGTGCGTATGCAGTTGAATTTGAGAAATGGGCATCGCTGCTCGATTGGAATAATGATGCCAAAAGGACCAAATTCTTTGCAGGACTGAAGCCGGAAGTAAAAGCGCAACTCCAACTTAGGGAAAAAGACATTTCTACTCTTATGGAATTGATTGAATCCGCAATTAAGGTCGATTCTATTCTTTTCGAGAATAAACTCGACAAGCAAGGGAAGTCACCCAGGTTTAAACCAAACCAAACTAAGCCACGGTATTCGACAAATTACTATGGACCACAACCAATGGAGATCGATAAACTCCAGAAAGCCTCAGGAAAGCAGGGTTCAAAAAACAAGCACAATGGAAATTGCTACAAATGCGGACGACCAGGGCATTTTGCTCGAAATTGCGCTAAGAAAGATCAATTACAAAAAAGAGGATCTTACAATAAGAAAGGAGAACAAAAAATAGCTATGCTAAGTCAGGGAAAGGCTACAGGATTTACGTGGGGACCAAATCAAATTGGATCTCGAAATGATGAAGCCTCAAAGCGACTATTGGCTAGAGGGGACGATATGCAACAAAATCCTCGGCATCAATATCATTGGATTTTGCCCATGAGCCATTGTCAAGTGGGGAACTGTCCTTACTGGGAACACCGTTCTGAGATCGATCCCGGTGAACCAACCTGGGAATATCCCTACGGGCCACCTGATATCTCCTTTACACAGGTCAGAAGGATCATGCAAATCAAGGGCATCAAGAATAATGAGGTGCATGTTCATCATAAACACCTACCTGTGAATCATTGCGCATCAGTAACATATGCTTATGGACGACATCGGATTCCACCCATCCGGGAAAGTGATTTCCAACCGGGAAACCACGAATTTATCGGACAGACTTTAGGTCTCGGCGAATGGGATTTCATTGACAGCATTTGTCGATGTATTAAGAAACTTATTAACATAACAGATGAACCAGTTAGAAGAACTCTAACATGGTCTATACCCCAGGGGGAATACCGAGTGAACTTCCAATTGCGATCGGAAGAAGAAACTGATGAACCGCTACAAGGATACCAAGTCAACCTGCAAATTCAAAAAGAGTTGTCCACCTCAGACAGTGACGACACTGAGGAATGGAGATCGGATGAAGAGACATTCGATGACGGTGAAAGTGAACATCCTTACCTATCGGGAAACGAGGAGATCGACTATTAGGAGGCGTAATAGCCGATTCTCAGGAGGAAACTCGAAGCCTCAATAAAATAGGTAATAGAAAGCTTTTGGTTGATGTTAGGATTGCAGGGAACATCACCACAGCCATGATTGATTCCGGAGCAACTGCAGATTTCTTGAGCAGTCGATACGCTCGGGAATGGGGATTACCTCTAAAAAGAAAGAAATCTCCTTACCCCCTTGTCACTGCTGACAGAACTCCAATAGCTTCAGACCAAGGAATAGTTGAGTACGAGACCACCGTCGACATGACAATCGAGAACAAGAGTACAATGAGAACCTTTGACGTTACAAACATTGGGGATACGGATGTTATCCTTGGATTGTCATGGCTCCAGGACGAAAGACCGCACATTGACTGGTCAACCTTAACTGTGTCTCTAGTTAAGGACCAATGTCCTGCCCAGGCCAGAAAGCGCACTGGAGGGCAGACGAAAAAGCCCATGCGGCAGGGTACACAAGACGTAGAGGCGGTAGCTGTCTGTCCTCTCCAGGAAAAAGAGGAAACAGCGTTCCAAATTCCTAAGGAGTACAAGGAATTTGCGGAACTTTTTAAGAAAGAACTTCCTGAAGAAGCTCTTCCACCGCACCAGCCATTCGATCACGAAATAGTGCTAAAAGAGGGATCCCAATTGAAAAGGTTCGGCATCTATCCATTGAGAGCCGATCAAAGAGAAGCACTTGACAAATACTTGGAAGAAAACCTAAAGAGAGGGTTTATTGAAGAATCCAAGTCTCCCGCGAGGTACCCAGTGTTCTATATACCAAAACCAGACGGCAGACTACGACTATGTGTTGATTATCGGCACCTAAACAGTATTACGGTGAAAAATGGCATGACGCTGCCTCTAATCCAGGAGTTACGAGACCGACTCCAAGGAGCCCGATGGTTTACAAAATTTGATATACCGGAAGCATTTCATCGGATTCGGATTAAAGAGGGCGATGAGTACAAGACAGCGTTTGGAACTCATCGAGGGCACTATCAGTACAGAGTAATGCCGTTTGGCCTTACGAATGCTCCAGCTACAATGCAAGCATACATGAACCACGTGTTGCGGGAACACCTGGACAAGTATGTTATGGTCTATATGGATGACATATTGACGTACTCCCGGACGCTTGAAGAACATGTCGAACACGTCCGAAAGGTCTTGACAGCGCTGAAGAAACATAATCTACGGCTTAAACCTTCGAAAAGCGAATTCCACAAACAGCAAATCGAGTTTGTTGGATTGATAGTCTCTGAGAAAGGATTAGAAGTTAATCCTAACAAAGTCCAGAAAGTTAAGGAATGGCCCGAACCCAAAACGGTTAAACAAGTTCAAGCATTTTTGGGATTCACAAACTATTATCGACAATTCATTCCTGGATATTCAAGAATTGCAGTACCACTTACTGAGCTCACAAAACAGAAGAAAAACGCAGGCGTTACTTCACAAGAGTTTCAGTGGACCGAGGAAGCCCAAAGGGCATTCGACGAGCTTAAGAGATTGGTCACCTCTACGCCTGTACTGCAATTGTTCGACACAGCTAAGCCAATAAGGGTTGAAACCGATGCTTCCAAATATGCTCTAGGAGCGGTCCTAAGTCAACAGGACAAAGATGGGCTGTGGAGACCAGTAGCCTATCACTCACGGAAATTTACCGATGCGGAAACTAGGTATTCCACATCTGATCAGGAACTGCTTGCAATTGTTGACGCTCTTAAACATTGGCGTTACTACCTAGAAGGAACAAAGGACACGTTCTTAGTTTTATCAGATCACCAGAATCTTCGAAACTTTACCACTACTCGAACCCTAAATGGACAACAGCTAAGATGGTCATACGAACTATCGTCATTTAACTTCGAGATAAAACATCGAAGCGGGAAACTCAATACTAATGCAGATGCGTTGAGTAGGCGAACTGATTATAACGAAGGAATAGAAGTTAAACATGCTCTTCTGCGAAAACAAGGCGACTCTTTGGTGCATCAAGTAGCTTCTTTAAGCAAAGTGGAGCTACCCGATATTCAAAGGATTCAAGATGAACAATCCAAGGACAAAACTATTGAGCAAATTGCAGAGTATGATGACAAACTTAAACTCTATCTGCATGAGGGTAAAATAGTTTTGCCTTCGGGACTGGAAAAGGAATAGACACTCAGACATCACGAACCTCCGTTATACGGGCACGCAAGAGCAGAAGAAGTCTTAGAAAAACTCCGTCGGAACTTCTATTTCCCCAGGATGAGACAAAAGGTTTTCTCTTAGATACAGGCTTGCAACCTTTGCAGGAAAGCCAAATACAAAAGACACAAACCTTATGGATTGTTGCAACCAAATCCAGCACCAGAGAAATCTTGGCAGGAAGTTTCTATGGATTTCATAGGACCTTTACCGCCCTCTAGGGATAAGAACAACGTCGAGTTCGAGAACATTTTAGTTATTGTCGACAGGCTCACCAAATATGGTATATTCGTACCTATGCCACGGCAATTCACGGCCTCTTACCTCGCCAAAATATTCATAAAAGAGGTTGGACGATTCGGCATACCAGAAAAGATTATCTCTGACAGAGATAAGATATTTACATCCCATTTCTGGAAGGAATTATGCCATTCACTACAAATCCATCAAGGAATATCAACGGCATACCATCCACAGACAGATGGACAGACAGAGCGATTGAACCAGGTACTCGAACAATATCTGCGCATATATGTTAATGATGAGCAGAATGATTGGACGCAATTATTACCACAAGCAGCATTGGCATATAATGCAACCAAACAAAGCGCAATAGGGATGTCACCCTATTATGCGAATTTCGGCAAGGAACCAAGACTAACAGTTGACACATCGGCACATTTACCGACAGAGGCAACGCTGTTTGCAGAAGAACTGCAATCGCTTCACGCTCAGCTACGGTCTGATATAGAGTTCCTAAATAAGAAAATGGCCCTCCAAGCTAATCAAAAAAGGTCTGAGGGACCAGACCTTAAAGAGGGGGATAAAGTTTATCTTTGGCGACGAAATATTCGCACCAAACGCCAAAGCTCTAAACTTGATTTTTTGAAAATCGGACCATTCAAAGTCAAAGCAAAAAGAGGACCTATTAATTATGAACTACAGCTACCTAAACACATGCGAATACATCCTGTGTTTCATATGTCTTTGTTGGAAAAAGCAGATCAAGAAACACCATTGGATCAGGAAACCCAGCTCCAAGATACTTTGGAACCTGAATATGAGGTAGAAGCAATTTTAGACCATCGGCTGATCGGACGTCAACACAAATATCTCATACGATAGAAGGGATACTCACAAGAGGACGACTCGTGGGAGCCTCTTTCTCACTTGGCGGGAGCCCAGGGGATGCTTCTGGAATACCATCAACTAAACCCAGATCAGAAGCAGCCGCCGAGTGTTGCGCGGGCTCTTCGGGATCAGTGAGCACCGGCGCAGGATCTTCAAATCTACAACATTTTAAACTCCGATCGAACGCGTTGGGATCCCAGGCACTCCAGATTGGAGGACCCTCGGAAATCATATTATTTTAGATAACCAAGTCTCTGGACAGCTCCTCCAGTTCTGCATTAGAAAGACCACCATTCTTGACCCTTTGCATTTCCTCTTCCTCTTCTAGCTCATCTAGAAGACACACCGCTTTCGCTTTCGCACGAGCTTCAGCCAACTTAAGAATTCTCCAATTCTTTTTCAAACAAGCTATAATTCTTTCCAACTCCTGCAAGTCAGCATCGATTAACGCTTTCGCTTCTTCCCGAGTTTTGTCTAACGACGCCCACGACGAGTTTATACACACGATTCCTTTGGAAGCGCACGAGGCGCATTTTATTGATTTTATTCCAGACATAAAGACGCAGCGGATACCGTGTTCAAAGCAATTTTGACACGCTACTGTCGCAATCTCTCCATGGAATTCAATCTCACTATGTGCTCGCTTCGCTTTATGGCGAAAGTATGTTGCTCGTGAGACACCTCCGAAATCGCCCGAGGAATGAAGAGTTGAACGAGACATTTTTGATTTTGGGAAGTGGGAAACACACTATTTAAATAAACTAACGCTTGAGGACAAGCTGACTAAAGAGGGGAATAATGTTACGGCGTACTTCCCAGTACGACTACGTAACATATGTCACTAGCACGTGACACCAAGGAGCAGTCTCAGTCTTGGCATGTGAGACTATATGCAAGAGTCTCACCGTAAGCAACTGAGACTCTCATGCAAGAGTCTCA